GCCACTACTGGCTTGCTTAAAATCTCACCTTCACTTGGGGCTCAGGCAGAGAGAATGATTACGTCTGTGCCACTGCGTGCAGCCTGCTTTCCGCTTCGCAAGTGCTATGGTATGACAGCAAAGTGCCCATCTGCACTGCTTGCACAGAACCGGCAGGTGACCTTGCTGCTGCACAAACCCACAGCCTCCCCCACCCCTCCCACACCCCTGCTCTACTTGTACTTCAGTCTCAGCTCCGCGCCAGGGCCTGTGACATCACAGGCATCTTCATCATGTGTCAGCACTCCCTATGCCCCAGAATAGCTTGGGTAGTAGATGGTTTGTGTGTCAGCAGTGAATATTGTGATTATTTACTGGGAGACGCCACACTATGTAAAAGGTTACTGTGGCTGAACAATATCAAACGGGGCTTAGTTCTTATGTAGACTTTGTGCAGACACCCCCCTCCCCGACCCCCGCACCTGTCACGTGTCCTTTCTTAGGTTCTGTGTAGGTGAGATTCTCTTTCTCTTTTTTTTTTTTTCGTGTGACTGTGTAGCCGGTTCTGTGACCTGTTTGTGCTCATCTCTATCCTGTAGGCAACTTGCCACTCTCTTCTGAGTAAAGCCACAGTTAAAGAAAAATTGGAAGGCATAAAATCAGTAAGTTTGGAGAACCGTTCACTAGACGCTTTTTGTTTCTTTTACGAAGCAAAAAAAAAGCTTCTTTTTTTTTTGCTTTTTATTTGCCCTTAATTTAAATGAATAACTTTGTTTATCCAAAAACATCTTCACACTCCAGTCTGTGCTCAACTTCCACTTGAAATCATCGTACTAATATTGCAGCTTTGAGTAGTTTTTTTTTCCCCCCTCCATTTTTCAGTTAACACTCAACACACTGATAGTAGTGGCTCTGTGGTGTTTCGTTGTCCTCCAGTCATTTCGTTGAGTGTCGAGACAGTGAGGTAGACTTTCTGTGAGGTGTATTTCTGGGTCACTAATCGCCCAGGGTCTGCTTTATTATAACGTGATATTATAACTTTTCCTTCAAACGTCCTGCATTTGCGACACCAAGGCATTGTGTTTCCGATGGGATGGCTTGTGCTGTCTTGGCAATTGGCGGGGCTTCCCGCCCAGTCAAGCCAGGGGTTAGGGGCAGATACACGTCTGTCTTCGTCCCACAAAATCAATGGAGTTCTGTGAGTGTAACCTGGCCAGCAGCCTACTTGCAGGAAAATAACTAAAGGTTGGAATCATGAAAAAGCAAATATAAAAATAAAAGGCAAAGAATGCTTATGATGTATTAGGACACAATCTTGCTGCCTTTAATTGTACATTAGAGGGTGTCAGCGGTTTCGTCTCTGGGGCAGAACCACCCCGAATCGACGAGTCATCGGATCTCCTGCACCGGCGCATCTGTGACATTTGAGCTGGCAGACGGATGGTTGGAGTTTCACGGGGGGCGGGCACAAGCTGCCTTCTTGGGTGATGGTGCACAGCACATTTTTCAGGTGGTTACCTGCTAGAGCTATGAGACCTGGATTTTTTGTTAGTTACACTCACTGTTTGTTGCTAAAACTCGCAGCCGGGTGTACTTCACCATTCTTGTTGACTTTGTTCTTGAAATAAACTTCATCTGCTTGTCTCTTCCGGTAGATCTGTGACTGTCTTGTTAAGAGGGACTTATTTGTGGTCACCCCTGCCAGTTTTCTGAAGTAATGCTCGGTATTGGGTTCATCAAGTGTAACTGACTTTCTCATCAGACTTTCAACCCATGTTGTATCTGCATCTCTTATCTGTCTGATTGACGTCATTCTCATGTATCGCAGTTATCGGTTTTGGGTCAGTGACTACTGCATTCATGTTATATGCAATGGAAATACCCCGTATGTCTGACTTGACGGTCAACTTAAAAAAGCCTCAAATTGCCAGTGTTTATTTTTTCTGTTGCATATTGTTGGGTTTTGCTCAGTTGATCGGGTCAGTCTGTCTCTCTCTGGGAAAGGCATATGTGGTTGGATATCTGGGGCAACCCACAGTTGGCATAAAAAAAACATCCTTAGTTGGTGATCTCTGCGTGTTTAGTATTAAATGGTGGGGGTCAGGAAAGTCATTTGTGTTCTTGGGGGAAAAAAAACTCCAAAAGTCTGTCACGTGATTTGGCAGTTCAATAAAGTTTCAGGACTGACTTTAAAAAAAAAAAAAAAACACAAAAAAACCAGTTGGGCACAACTCATTACGGTGTTAGCACCAGAGTGTGTTTCTCTACGTTGAAGACATTCTGGAATGTTCTGTAGAATGTAACCAAATCGTGCACCGGCAAGGCCTTGAGTAAAATTGCATGAAAGCTGCAAGTATACGTGCTTCAAAGAGGTTTGGGCTGATTCAGTCTTTCACTGCCCAAGTTAAGCTCCAGTGATTTGATCTTGACCTGTTCTGCCAGCCTGCGTGTTGTCCTTCACCAAGTGTGCAGGGTAGCCCTGAAAGATGATACATGGTTTGTGAAACTCAAGATAGCATGTTGTCTTGTTCAGCGGAAGGGCAGCGGTCAGTCCTGTGACTTTATTGCATCTTGTGATTTCTGATGTAATGATCACTGTTTGTAGTGTCTCCAGTCTAGATCGCACTATATTTTTTGTACACATCTCTTGCACCTCTCCTCTTACATCTGCTTTTCTTCACTCTGCTTTGCCTGCCCGCCTTCTAGTGTCCCCCTCTTCTCTCTGCTTCCGCTCTGACTGGCTGAGACTGCTGACCCATTCTTGGTTGACCTATGAGAATGGTGGGAGTGACGGTGGCGGTTTTTCCACTCTTCCCCTCTCTGGGGTCTGCGTCTTGGAGCTGACCAACCGTGCCCTGTACCACCCCCCCCACCCCCCACCCCCACTGCCCCCCACAGGTGGTGAGCCTAAGGTTCCCCCAAAACAGCATTGGGGCAGTAGGCAGCGCCATGTTCCTTCGCTTTATCAACCCTGCCATCGTGTCGCCGTACGAGGCCGGTGTCCTGGACAAAAAGCCCCCACCCAGGATAGAGCGAGGCCTAAAGCTCATGTCCAAGGTAGCCCCTCCCTCACCCCGGACCACAGACTCCCTTAAAGTCACCTGCATGTCCCCTCCACTCCCGTCCCGTTACCTCACCAGACAAGCAACCTTTGTGTTGCCTTCTCTTTTCAAGCCACATGGCAGATGTGGTGATTGCACATATCTCTTCCTGTTTGCAGATCCTGCAGAGCATAGCGAACCACGTCCTGTTCACCAAAGAGGAGCACATGAGACCTTTCAATGACTTTGTGAAGAGCAACTTTGATGCAGCTAGGCGGTATGTCGAACCAGGGTCTTCAGTTGTTGTAAGAAATAACTGGTGTCCGCCTTGGAGCTAAATGGGTTAACCAGGCCAGCAGGTAGATATTACAGTGACCCCCCTGCCTATCGCAGAAGTTACGTTCCAGACCCATTAGCGATAGGTGAAAATCCGCAATATAGAAAGACCATATACATAATTTTTTTTTTTTTTTTTAATAGTTTAAGCCCTAAAATACCCCTCCCACACGCTTTAAAAGCAATAGGTGAAAATCTGCGATATAGAAAGACCATATAAATAAATTTTTTTTTTAATATAGTTTAAGCCTTAAAAACGTAGGGCTTAAAACAAAATGAAAAGTTCACAAAAAGTTTGCTCACAACAATTGGACCACAAGCAAGGTACGCGATACGCAGAGGACTGTGATGCGTCGGGGAAAAATCCGCGATATAGCGGGGGATCACTGTACAGTACTTGGTTCTGGCACCAGTTTCAGGGGTGCAGGATTCTGGATAAAACTCTAAAACGGAACACAGTATATAAATGAAAGCCTGACAGAAACAAGTAGCCTCTATTATTGCCTTTTCTTTTTTTGGAGTGACAATGGCACAGGTGTCACATTTATTTACGCCGGTTTTAATTGGCCCGCAGGTTTTTCCTCGACATCGCCTCCGATTCACCCCCAAGTGACTCCGTCAACCACAGCCTGTCCTTCATCAGCGATGGCAATGTGCTGGCCCTGCATCGGCTCCTCTGGAACAATCAGGAGAGGATCGGACAGTACCTCTCCAGCAACAGGTGACGTGGGGCCAGTGAGCATGCCCAGAAGGGGGGTGGGGGGGGGGGGGAGCTGTATGCACTGAGTTTGCTGGATTTTACTTTGGGGTAGAGGTTGTGGATTTACACATCAAGCATTTAAAAATCAAGACCAAGGTGCGCCGATCATATTTACACTTGATCTCCTTAGTGCAATAATTTCAATTTTTCATTTCAAATGTATTTATATTGCGCATTTTCACATTACATTTTCTCACAGTGCTTTACAGCCCCCCAGTGAGCAAGCCAGAAGTGATACTGGCAAGGAAATAAATCCCTATTTGGAACAAACCTTGGGAGGAACCAGACTCAGAGGGGGGGGGCATCCTTTTGGGGTAGGCAGAGGAAATCAAAACAAGATGAAACATCTTAGTTGATAAAGTCCAAAGGATGAATGGTGGGCAAGCAGGAGAGAGAACTCGAAAAGTATTTGACAGATCAAAAGCTCACCAAGGCACATCAGTTGGGTGCAGAATTGGAACCGATCAGGTTTTGAGACCCATCGCACAAATACTGAAGCAATGCTGCACAGTGGCAGCAAAGGGGAGGACGACTTTCAGATATTTAACCAATGCGATGAGTTAAAGTATTTGATAGATCTTATTACTGCTTCATAAGAACATTATGTTGATGCAATACCTAATTTCATTTCAAGAGAAATTGTCCCAAAATAGAATAGTTTCAAAGGAAGGAAATGGCAGCTTAGAAGACACTTGGTCTCGTAAACATAGTAAATCCAAAATATTTCTTGCATCTTTTTCAAACTTTGCAGACACATTGTATGGGTGATAAGCTCGGGTCTGTTTCATTTTGAGACACCGGACCGAAACTGAAGTGTTACTTAGTGGTGGTAGATAAACGGACAGCCACAAATGCAGATTAATAAAAAAAAAAATGAAGATTTTTTTTGGAGAGGTGGGGAGAGTGTGTTGGGGTGTGGGAGGTGTATGGATTGGGGGGGGAGAGGATACCATTGTGGGAAACTGGGAATACATTGTCGTTCGCACAATCTAGTTT